GACAGACATGGCTGGGGGCCTTTCCTGGGACCTCGGTGTCTGCACGGGTTAAGGCGTGCGGGGCGAGGTGGAAAAGTTGCTGTTGAATTTCACTTTAAGGGACTGGACAGAAAGCAGCGAAATGGATGATTTCCACTCCATCTGCCTGCTGTCTCTGGCCATGCTGGTTGCCTGTTATGTGGCAGGGATTATCCCTCTGGCAGTTAATTTTTCAGAGGTAAGACAGCTTCACCAAACTACTCGTTGGTTGCTACGGAAGAATAGCAGGAATTAGATGCAAAATCTACCACGAGGTATCAATGCTGTCCCGTTTCAACTGTGGCTATGCTTTTGTAGGTGCTCTTCTAACTTAAAAAAGATTTCTAAGGAAAACACGAGTGGATGTTAACCTTCACTGAAAATCACAGCATGAAATAATGTTTATTCAAAATCGAATGTAAAATTACTTAAATGTATCAAAATTTATGCAGGTCTCTCCGCTGCAGGTGCAGGGAAGCCTCAGCATATGGTTGAAGAACAGGAGAGTAGCTGGGCATTGTTATTCTTGTAAGGAGTTTGTGTCGGAAGCTTCTGAAGTCAGACTAACTTTTGTTACGTGTCCGTGGACTGTTTGAGTCAGGGCTTCTAAACCAGTTCTGAAAATGTTCTCAGAAAATTGGTTTTGGTTAACTGTTTTGCTCATACTTAATATGAGGTAATATCTAGCTCTTTGATGATTACAAGAAAAATTTCAAGTCATTTTAATATTATTGACAACTCAAAGTATTCTTTTTGAAAAATATCTAGGATAAAAAAGATATTGTTAAAAGAGAAGGAGGCTGTTGTTACAGTCTCTGGAAGTCTCATAATATTCTCTGAGGCCTGTCGGCTTTTATTTTTTTGAAATGTTGATTGTTGCAATAAGGTGTAGTGTAGTGAAAGTTCAGTCATTATGAAGTGGTAAGAGCCTGGTTTCTCATTTCTACTGGATACAGTGCTGTTCTTGGAAAGGGAGGTGATGGAAAAGAAATGTTACCTGTTTCCCCATCACATCAGACCTCGAACTTATCCTTTAGTCTCATGATAACTAGTGCGGTGGAGGCTTTGGGGAGCAGTAGATTGTGAACAGCGTGGGAAGAAGTGTAGTTCTTTTCATTACAGCAAAATTCAACTGAATGATTTGAAACATGAGAATATATCCTGAGATCTTTACATAAAAATTAGGTTGACTGCATTAGCAGTGCTTCATCTAATGCTTTGATGGACCTTCTCTTAAACGTCATCAAGGCTGTTGCTACCTTCTTCTCCCTTTTTAAAACCTCACTTTTACCCTGAAGCCTAGAAAGGACTTTCTTGCAAATTTGCTGAGACCACTACCTAGCATGTTAAATATTGTCTCAAGTTTTTTTTTTTTTTTAAATTTCCTCAGGAGTGTGCTTGCAAGTCACCTATTGTCTCTTTATGTTTGGTTATAAGTTCTTTGGCGATGACGTTGAATTGTTTATACAGTTTATACATGTCTGTACAGTTGGATCAGGGGACTCCTAAATCGCTAGGGGCTTCTGACTGCTTTGGATAGAAATCTGTTATAAAAGTTTTGTAGAACCAAAAATGTAGTGCTCTGCATAAACAGTAATCAAATACTTACCAGCCTGCTGTTATGTTTGCAGTGTTTGTAAATGTGTGCACAGTTTGTAAAGTAAGTTTATTGTGGTATCTTAAACTCTCAGAATTTCTTGACTCAGTTTTGTACTCGACTTAAATAGTTTTTTAAAGCACTCATATGTTGTGTTCATTTGAAAGAGGAGCTGAACCTCTTTGCAGATGTTTTTTGTGCAAATACTACCTAATCCTGGAAGTATCTAATTAAAAGTTAGAATTGTTTAAATAATTGACTGAGCATTTGCAGCATGGAACGTTTTAAACTAAGATGAACTATTTGGACTACACGTTCTCTGGTTTGCAAAACATTTTATAGCCTCAATGAGGAAAAAATGCCTTGTAAGGGTCGAAATAGGAAATAAAAATGAATGCTTTACATGATACACCCCGGATGCTGGAGAAAAATAAAATTATTTGCTAATGTTAATGCATTTCTTCAGAAGACTTTTTTTGCTGTGGAACCTATTCTTTATGTTATTATTTCTGTCTTGTTTTCTGTCCTTTGAGTTAGATTTGAATTTTCTTAAAAGTATGAAACTCCAGCACAGCCAGGGAGAATGAAATATCTGTGGTAAAAAGCTAGACTGGGCAGAGCTTCACTTTGTTTGTTTATGCGGATATGAACCCATTTAGCTTAGTCCTGATTTGTAGTATAGCCTAACACTCTATTAGGCTAGGCTTGGGCCAGAAACCAGACTGTGCCTTTTCTTGAGGCTATCTCTTAAGTTGTAGCTCAAAAGCCAAAAAAAAAAAAAAAATCAAGTTCTGGAAGTTTGGATCCTTTGAGTGTCTAACACAGTGTTGACTGAAGTGGGACTGTTTGCTACTGAAAGTAGGTGAAAGTTTTTGCTGGTTGTTGTCAGAGTTTCAATGCTACACAGATTTAAAGCAAGAAACTGACATCACTCTTGGAGAAACGCTGAGCTGTGGAACAGCTTGCTAATTTGGGAGTTTGGGGGTTTTTTTTGGAACAGAAATTTAAGATGTTTTCCTGTGAGGTTTTAACACAACTTACTCTGTTGTTGTTTTTCATGAGACTCATAAGTGTTTTGGTGACTAAATGGTTTGTTTTTAAAAGATGCAGCTTCTTGGACAAAACTAGAAGACTTTCACCCATCTGGGCGGACTGCAATTATTAGATGTCTGTATTAATCATCTAGAAGCATGGTGTTTTTTCTTGAAATAGTAATTTGTTAACGTGTGTTGTTTTCATGCATTTTTAAAAATCGCAGATGTCCAAATTAATGCACGCAGTACTCTGTATTTGCAGTCATAATAAAACAATATTACTTGTGACATTTTGTTTTTGGCTGTGTGTGTGTGTGTGTGTGCATATATATTATGTAAAATGAGAGATTATAGTGTTGCAGTATAAACATCATCTTATTGAGCTTTTGAGAGGTCATATTTTGGCAAAACTACTTTAAAAACAGTCAGTGTGGAAGATCAGCTATTTATATAGATTCCCACTGTATAACAACCTATCAAGTGTATTTGTCATGTGACTGTACAGTGTGTGTTGGTGGAAACTTTACAAGTATTTTCATCTCCTGCATATTACCCCTTGAATTTTCCCCAGTAAAGCTGTAAACATTTCATTATGGTCATGTCTGGCATGCATTTAGAAAGCTAGTTGTAAGTCCCTCCAGAGCCTGTGTTTCTTCTATACGAGGCTCATCTATTTCGTTGAGATTTATTGAACTTGCATCATTACAATGCATGAGGAGAAGCAGGGGGAGCATAATAAGGATATGCTATGAGCGGTTTCTTGTTACTCCAACACTGCACTCCATCTCCAGGTCCTCAGTAGTTAACTCTGGTATTTGGGCAGTGCGCAGACATCTGATTGTGCATTCAAGATGATGATGGTTCTGCCACAAAGTACGTGATACACAGTTGACATCAAGATCTGAACATCACTAGTTACTATGTGTGTTGTGCTAATGGCTATTACAGAAATGATCCTCTGGATAGGAGAGAAACTTGTCATATGAAGCAAGTTGATGTATTTTAGGTACCATTAGATGTTAATGTTACGGCATTTTCAGTGCATGACTTTGACTTTAGCCTGTCAGTGTTCTAGTCACAAGCAAACAAAAGTTAATAGTAAATTGTTCTTTCTTAGGAAAAATAAAATTTAGTCAAGAGGTACTGCAGTCGAGGGAGTACTGATCTCTTTCTAGGCTTTTTGTCCAGAGTTAGACAAAATCTTAGAATCTTTCTAGAAAGGCGGTCCTTACTATTAGTAGCAACTGCTTACAAAATCCTTACCTACTTTTGTTGTTGTTTAAGCTTGTTGCGGAAACTTGATTTTCCTGGAATATTTCTAGATTACACTGTAAAAATACTAGGTTTACATAATATTCTTTAAGTTTTAATTACCAATTTGCAATGCTTAGATTTTACAGTAGATTTCAGTTTTAGCTATGTTTGCAGAGCGGAAAAGGGAGTGCCATGATCTGTAACTACCTAGAGTGGAATATCTGTTTGTATTGCCCTAAAATGTGATAAAGAAGCTCTTTAAATGATTTATATAATTCTGATTTTGAACCTATTTTTGGGACTCAGTCCTGTCTGTCATATTTTGTAGCTACCCGTCATTTTGAAAATATTATGGTGCATATTGCAGTTCTACACATTCAGTGGGCAACTTACGCATCTGACTGTTTTTGAATACATGGAGCACATTATCAGAACTTTCAAGTTAAAAAAAAAAAGTTACTCTTAAAGTTTTTCTTATTATTATTCACAATTTTATGTTTTTAAGTTAAACCTGTTCTTTCATGATAAGTAAAATGCCATTAAATTATGGCAGTTCTAAGGGCAAGCTTTTGCACACAGGTTGTATGTTCCGTGAAGACTGAAAAGTAGTTCATCTATCATGTGACAGTAACAGTCTTAATAACTTAACTTCCTTTCTCACGTGTCTCCAAGCCTTTAGGTGAAAGTAGCATTCCTCTTGCATTTTTTTCTCTGGAATCTTTCCTTTGTCCCTGCAGTCCTGAACTTCTTTCTTAGCCTTTCTCTATATTCGATACATATAGGTGACTTAGCAGTTTCAGCTCATACTCAGCCAACGTATTATAGATGTGTTTTTGTTATTGGTTCTCTTGTGTTTCTGTATTTTTTTCATTTATCTTTCCTGTATATTCCTTGGTTGTATAGATGGGCGTTTTGGGGGAGCAGGCAATTTCTCTTCTGCTGTACCATGCCTAGCAGAACTTTTAGGAAACTGGCATGTTTATGTATGATTCCTAGTGGGAAGGATTTATTTGATCACAAACCCAGAAGGGGGATAAAATGTAGAATTAAAAACATGCTCTAAAATTCAGACGCTCTCAATCCTTCTTCAGCTCTGTAGGCCTTGCAGTTGGAGCACTAGAGAGTGAATTAGCCCCCCAAAATCATTAGTGGCAGGTATAACAATCCATGCTATTTTTAAGTGTGCCACTTATCATTTCTTGTCTGATGGTAACAATCAAACAATTCATTTCGAACCTTCATTTTCTACTTCGATTGTTTGCCTCAGATGCTGTGAATATGTTCATGTTAGAAATTTAATCATTAGACATACGAGATACTTAAACTGGGGCTCTTGAATAAAAATTATGCAGAGGTATTGTGGATTAGGTCTAGTGATGAGGAAGAGTAGAGAGAGATTTTTCATTCCTAAAGATGATACTTATTTTGTGCTTGCTTGCAGGAAAGGTTAAAGTTGGTGACTGTTTTGGGTGCTGGGCTGCTGTGTGGAACTGCCTTGGCTGTCATTGTGCCGGAAGGAGTACATGCACTTTACGAAGACATTTTGGAGGGTAAGAACCAAAACCATGTCTGTAGATGCTCTTGTTCACGATGACGTAGGCTATGGTGTGATGATATACTAGGGTGTGTTTCTAGGTCATTCAGCATGAGATGGGGTGGTGAGGGGTCACAGCAGCATGGTGGAAAGCCAGCATAAAATCACGAAGCTTTCATAAGCACGCTACTGTAAGTTAATGGCAATTTAACAAAGAAATGTGGTCAGTGGAGCAGCTTACTATTCCTGAGTGATATAGTCATTTGCAGGTCCAGTGTGCTGTACTGTTCAAAGACTTTTATGCCTGGTCACGTGTAGTGTTCTGAGGAGAGTTAAAAGTTTAACTCTCACTGGAACTTCAAGCAAGAGACATAACGATGCCTTTGGGAGAGAATGATCTTGTGGGTTATTTGCTGTTGCTTTCTGTGGTTTAGATCACTTCTGGTTACAGCAATAACTGGAAGTGTTCTATAGATCTATGTGTACTTCCCTTATTTGAGATTCCTCCTTTGAAACTGAAGGACTTGTTGAAGCATAGTTAGTTTCTTACAGCTGCAGAGAATGAACACTGGATGATTGCTGTTACTGCCCACAGCAATCTTTTGGCTCTTCTGATAGGTCTTGGTGGCCCAAGGCAGAGATGACTATCTTCCTGAATTGCTTCTTGAAACGCCAGTTCTCAGCTATTCAAGTGGTTCTGTAGCAGCCCAGGTTCTTATTTTTTCTCCTTGGCTTTAATTTTCTGCTGCTTAATATATTGAAATAGCTGAGTAAAGAGACCGATGAGTACTGGTGCAAAAAAAGGGGTGGGAATACGTGACTGGTGATGGGTGGGGAAGGTGAAACTGTAGCAGCCAGCAGTCGGACGGCTTCAGGCAGCTGTGCAATCTCAGTTTAAAAGGGACTGAAGTTGTAATTAAGTTCTGTTAATACAGTTGGCTGAAAATTGTGGTTGCATAGGGCTAATTCACAGAGTAGGAGGCACTCCTGTTTTGAGTGGCAGTGTCCATCACATGTAGATGCCAGCTACGCGTGTGAGGTGCCACCTTTACTTATCCAGCTCTAGTCTGCTGCCACCAGTCTTTCAGATAACTTCGCCTCTAATGAATAGCTTAAAGCTAATGGAGATTACGTGTCCTGTAGGGACATCAGCATGGGGCACATCTTATACCCAGAAGTCTTGGAAAACCTCAGTTCATGAGGTTACGCCCTTATTTTTAGTAGTCTGGGCTCTTTGCCTGTGTTGGTTGGAGTGCACTTTAATTGTTTGCGCTATTACGTTACCACTGCATATGTAAAATTCTTGAGTATGCTTAAAATCAGAAATTTATCTGAAGGTGGACAGCAACAACTTATTAGTTTCAGGAGAAAGACCTATAAAGTTGAGGCTGTAGAGAACTTTGCAGATGTGTCTGATGTACCATTGTTTCTAATCTTTGATGGAGAATCATAATCCTCTAAGTTGTTCCTGATTGGCTATTTTTTCTTGTTTCTACACCCTTTTCTTTATATACATAAAAATATATTTTTATTTATAAAATGAAATACAATTTCTTTTTAGTACTAGGGTTTATTTCAGCCTGCTGTACTTTCCACTGATTTTATATGTTGTTCTCGCTACATTTAGAGTAAACAGAAGATAATATATAAAATCATCCATGATTAAGAAGTGAAAGAACCTCTGATTATGCTTTTGTACTATATTGTAATTTGTGCACTGCAGCGTAGGATCTCTCTAATGAGCTGTAGTTGCAGGTTTGCTTTTCATTTCATTTTAGTTCTAAGTAGCCTAACTTTTCTTCTAATGATATGGCTAGCAGAGTAAACACAATTACTGTGTATTTTTTCACTAAACGCAGTGTACTGTTCATGTATCACATCTACATCCAGCTTTAGAACAATAAAGCTATAAGTTATATAGTGTATATGTTTGGAGAAAAGGATACTTCCCATTACTACAGCAGTAAAGTCAGATATAGGTACCTAGGAAAACATAATTTGTTCTGAGAGTGACTTCAGACTTGTTTCCTAACTAACAGTCTCCTGTCTGTTAGTACAGACAGTCTGTCTGTTAAAGCCAGTCTGTCTATAAAGAAAGGTTTAAGTAAAATTGGAAATCATCTCTTTCAGGTAATTTAGTTTTCTGGTATCCTACCTGAAGTTTAATTTCCTCTAGCACATTGCACTTGCCAATCAAATCCTAAGTTGTTGTCTTTCTCTGTTGAAGAATTGAGAGAACTAGACTTTTTATATTGCAGAGAGGTGGAATTCACAGCTATTATAGATTTAACTACAAAAATTATTTGAATGTCTTTCTGGCAGAAGTAGGGTATTCAAAGGTAAACTTAAGGCTCAGAACTTCACTGAGCTTTTGGTATACTTGCAACCAATTCATGTAAACTACATCTAGAAAGTTATCTAAAGAGACACTGAGGCTTAGCCCTGAATGTAATTATATTTGTTATATACAGGTCCTATGTTTGCCCAGTTCTAAGTGTGATTTTACTCTGAGGTTGGTTGCTGGTAATCAGAATAGGTTTAGCATTGATTAAAAAGTCAAGTCATGTACTATTACTTCTGTATTTTACTTTTGCTATCTTATGGGGGTGTACTAAAGTGACTGATTGTAAGAGGATGTTGCTACAGTACTGTATACATCACTTTGCAATGACTTCATTTTGTCTTCGTGATAGCTATATTAACAAGGTTCTTGTGTATTTTAGGATTTTACCTACATCTTAAAATAAAATCTTTGTTTGCTTTCAAGAAGTCTAATTTACCAAAATAGAGCAGGAAACAATTTACTGAAAGTTCCGCACCTTCCATTTTTGGAAAAACAAGGGCACTGTGGCCGGAGAGTCTTTGATTTTCATTTAAGTGATTAGAGTAGAAACCTTTATGCAATGATATCCGCAATATATGCGAGCCAAATCTGCAAATATATAAAATAATCAAATCGTCATTGAATAATAAATGACAGGCCACAGGATAAGTAACTTTTGATTTTTGACTTTGTCGATTGCAATGAGAGCAAATAGCATATCATGATTCAGATTATTATTTGATCATAAATCGAAGTATGTATCTACATAGTGAAACCTTGATTTGACTATTACCAGGAAGTAAACTTCCTTTGGTGACTTCATTTCTTTGCTTTAATGGGTGAAACTGGGTAACTACTGTCAAAAAGATGCCCCAGATTACCCACAGTGTTTTGTGACTTGAAACAATCAGAGGAATGTTAACAGTATTGTATGATCTGAAGTTATATGTTGATTAATCTAATTCAGTAAAGATATATTTGTGAAATCTCACTGAGGCTGCCAAGCCTATTCTAATGTTTTATTTATAGCAGTGGGATGGTATGATGGTATCAAATCCAAGAAGATGTCATGCAGTAAGACTTTGCTAGAGTAAGTCAAATTTTTGATGTTAATATCTAAAACTTTTGAAGAATAATTGTCAACCAAAAAGCCCCTCCAAAATTAAAGTTTTACATTTGTCGCTTAAACCACAGAAGTTAGGAAAGCCCTAACATGTACTGTTCTCTCCTTTGGTTTTGTTTTGTTGTTGTTGTTGTTGATTTCTGTTCTTGTAGTTTTCAAAGGGTAAAATGTGTAAAAGTTACCTTAAAAAAAATGGTAAGCTGAGCGAAAGTGTGTATTTTTAAGGTTAACTCCAGATACAAGGATGAAACAGAAGAGAAATATCTTTAGTGCTGAATTGTAATGACTATAGTAATAAATTCAGACATGATTGGCCTTACCTTGATTTGGGCAGAACAGATAAGCTGTTCTGAAGTCAAACAACTTTCCAGTATTGAGATATTGATACGGGAAAAATGTTCTGCTATTGAGGAAATGTTCCTTGTGGTCTGACCAAAGAAACAACATGATTGATATCCTACTATTTTTTAATGTTTACTAGTCCTTTTAGTCATCTTACAGTTAAATACTGTGATTTAAAATAGCACTAAAATCAGTAATGTTGTTCTAGTAAAAATTTTTAAGAATTTTCCGTGGATGATCAATGCTGTTCTGTTTAGTACTGTAATCAAAGTATTGCTGTTCTATGCAAGAAATACAAAGTTAAATGAAGCAGGCGTTTGTGTGTGTTATTGTTTCAAGTCCTTTTGGAAAAGCATTTTTCAGAAAAGATGTTAAAAACCAGCCGTTCAGCTGGTAGACGAGATCAAGGATACTATTTCAAACTTAGAAGAGTGTGAAAGGGATAGACAGGAACAAGTGGTTAACACATAAGAAGTGATAAGATTGTGTGGATTGAGTAAAGGCAGCAGAGAGGTAGGCGTAGGACAAGACGAAAAATACCAGTAAACCGAATGTCTTCCTCTTTAAAAAAACAGAAAACAAAAAACAAAGACACTCCAAACAACGACACTATACAGAAACAAAAAAAACCCCAAAACACTCTGCACGAGGCATGACTGAATGCCTGTGCATGATGTGACCCCTTTCCCTGCTTCCCCAAGTGATGTGTTGAGAGATCTGTTCAAGCAGGAGAAATGTTGAGACATCCTTGCCTTGCCAGGGATGGCCAGATGTCTTTTATGGTGATCACGGATCTCAAGAGACTGTTAGCACTTAGCGAAGTCAGATCTTAAGAAAAGAAAAAGCGTAGTTTTCGGGTAAGCATTTGAACAAGACAGAGCCTTCCTTGTGTTTACAGATCGTGTTACACTGCTAAATGGTGGTTTGTGAGGGGGTAGCAACTAACGTGGCAGCTGCTTTCTTATACTGGACTGTAATGCATATGTTCTGCAGGGCATTGGAGCTTTGCAAAACGGTATCCCCTTTTTTATTTTCATATTTTAAACCAAATTCCTTTTAAGAGTTTCCATGGAAATGCAAAAGGATTGCCTCTGTGACCAAGCATAATCTCTAAATGTGGAGGAAAGGAAGGAGAGTTTATTAAAATAGTTATAGTTGAAGATTGCGATTTGGTCTAGCAGAAAAACAAAACCCAGAGCTTTTTAATCATCAGGCCTTAAAGAGATTTACGGATATTAATTGAGCCTGCCAAGCATAGTTGTAAGCGTTGTCCCTGTTCTGGAGTGGAGACAACTTGCACTGAATGGTCATTCAGGCCTCAGTGTAGCATGCATCTCAGACATCTGACTTAGCTTGGGGTATCAGATGGGGAAATAAATTTACTGTGTCTGTTCTCCCATTGATAACACTTAAATAATGCTTACCCTGTATAAAGGGCCTTAGCTACCATAGAAGTACAACTGTTATTTCTTATTATAACAGTTATATTTTTATTGTATGGTTAGGAACATAAAAATATCTGTTCTGAATCTGCCGAAGGACTGTCTAGCCTGATATCTTGACTCTGCCAGGGCCCTAAGGGAATGGAGAGAACATAAGATTCAAGTGAGCACAGTGCGTGAAACCAGGAAGTAGAACGTGCGCTGTGTGCTAGGCCGTTGTCAGGGTCTTAATTCAAAACTCCTTCTACCTGGTCTGTGCCTCATAAAAGTTCTTCTAACAGTGTATTTCTGTATCTTGCTGGGAGAAGGAAAGCTTAGATAAGGTTCTGTGCTTGTATCAGCTGGGAGCTACCCAAACTTTGCTTTTTTTTTTTTTCTTTTTTTTTAAAATCTCTTTCACATGAATATACTGAGGCAGCTCTCCCCAGTCTTTGGCAGTACTAAAAAAACTGCGTACTTGCAGACGTTGTTTGCCCTTTGCGTCAGACTGGATTGCAGAAGCAGTAGCTTCCCATGGTCATGAGCAAAGTTAGAGGATTTTGTGGATGTTGCTTGGGAGCCATTTGGCGAAAGACTACTGGAAATGTTAAATGCACCTTCCAGTAAAGCCTTTCTCTTCCTCTTTAAATCCATATAAATTCAGAAATACACTCAATGAGTGTTGAAATTGGAAATTTTGTGTAGTGAGGGTTTTGCTTCCGATGGCTCATGACTAAAAGTATAAAGTTCACAGTAGGGCACGTGACAACCGTAAAAGTTAGTAAAACTACATTACATCTCTACATTCTAAAAGTCATTGTAGGTAGAGAGGTTTATCAGTATTACTAACCTATGAAATATTTTAAAAGAAGTTTTGTTTGCTGAAGATGTATGGGAACAGCGGACGAAAAGAGGTCAACCAAGCAAGTGCATGCTGCCCTGAGAAACTGGGCTAAGAAGGACTTTACATGATGACTTTTATGTATTGTCCAAGAACGAGTGAGGAACGCTTTCAGCAAAGGAGGAAAAACAGCAAGCATGCCTTATGTAGGCCCCTGCCTCCTAATCTATGTGCTTGCTTGCTTGCCACAGGGAAACATCACCCGGCGAGTGAGGTGCAGCGTGTGATGGAGTCTGAGAAGGTAGCAGAAATCCCGGTTGTGCATGAGTATGGCCATGACCATTCCAGATTGCATGCCTACATTGGTGTTTCCCTTGTCCTCGGCTTTGTCTTCATGCTGTTGGTGGACCAGATAGGCAGCTCTCATGTGCACTCTACAGATGGTAAGTAAAGATTCACTTTCATTAGACTTGCTAATTAGTCTTTATTAACAAGATGTAATTTTTCTGAATGCCTTTGGCATGTAATTTGACCAGTTATGTCAAGACTTTCTGTTAAGAGAGGAGCATACAAGCATAAAGCAGAGTCTATGTGAAATGCCTGTGCTGGAATATCTCTCCTGGAATCCAGCAGAATCTGAGTTTGCTTTGCTAATATGAAATAACTATAGAGCACATACAGTGTGGGAATGGAGGGTGATTTGACACTTGAGTTATTGTCTGTTTTACAGTATCACCCATAGGGGATTTCTTTGGTTTTCAAAAAAAAAATTCAGGTTAGTCTTATCTTCCTTTGTTCTTTTCCTACTTAATTGTTATACCTTGAGGTAAAATTTGCAAAGAACAAAAAGTTGTCCTAAGTAAGAATGCAGAAATTGAATCAATAGCTGAATGTAGGCTCTGATCTTTTGTTGGAACTGCATGGCTAGGCCTCACACAAGGCTACAGACTCGCTACTTCAGAGTACTTCATGCAAAGTGCACAGGTTTCTCAACTTCATTGCAAGCTTCTTGTAATGCCCACAGTTGTCCTTGTTTCCTGCCTTTGCCTGTGGCTTCACCTCCAAACTGTACTTTGACATGCATTTAAGAGGCACTGTCACCAAAAGCGGTAGTTATTGCCTCTGACTGCTCATTCTCTCCCATGTAGTCTTCTCTGATGGTGGAATTTGGCCCTCCAAAACTAGGAAGCTGATCTAGTTGGAAAAGTAAAACACAAGAAAAGGGGGGATATATATGTTTTGGTCAGATGCTTGGCAGTTCACTGTGCAGCTGCACGAATGCTTGTACAGGATCAGTGTGGTGGGAAGGATGAGAAGCCAGTGTAGGGGCTGTTTGTGCTCACGCTGCTGGGAAAAGGTGGGTGAAGCCACAGCCTTGGCTAGCTCGTTTGCATAGCTTTTTTTTAAAAAAAAAACAAAAAAAAAACACCTTGGCAGGTAAGGTGGCAGGGCACTCAGATAATCAACTTTCATGAGAATCCGTGTACAGATTATGATGATTTCCAGTGTCTCCGATCAGAACAAATAGCAGAAAATTGGCTGTTTTTATTTATCTGTGTTAGAGGTACACATTATAAAATAGGATGTTAAGTACAGTGTTGTCCAGCCTGTGCCTCTGACACAGGAAATGCAGTGGTGTTTTTTGTAATTTTTATTAGGTATCTTTAAGAAATGCTCTTTCCTCATTTGAACCAATGTGTGGTAGTTGTATTTATCTCCAAGTGGTTAGATTTTTACTTTCTCTAAACTAAAAAAATTCTACAGGCTAGAAAGGAGATATGAAGTCAGATTAGACTGTCTCTTTGAGTTTGTCTAGTTCTCGGCAGTCCGACATAAATTTAAATTTAAAGGAAATGCAATAGAAGAACTTGAAAAAATGTATTCTTTGTGAATGATCTCCTCCTTTTTGACATGAGTGCACAGTCACGGTCATCCAACAGGAGCCTTTGCAATTACTCAAATGGTCCTCTGAATCAAGGGAAGCCTAATCTGACTGAAAAGAGAACGTTACGGTTCACTGGATCACTTCCCTGATCTGATGAACTGTGTGACTACAGGGGTGCCTGGGCAGGAGGAAAGGAACAGGACTTTTTGGCAGCCGTGCAGGTTTGTTTGATTAAAGTAGCTTTAAGCGCGCTTACTGTCAGCTTTCTGAACACTAGTATGATTAGATAATAGCTGTTCAACTGTTTGAAATCAATCAGTTGAAGAGTAAGATGTTCCTGTTCTTGTGCAAGACTTATCTATCTCATTCATCGTGGTGAGTCTGTGCAGCTATTTTACTCCTGGTTGTATGGCAGTGGATATTATCCTCTTGTGCTGTGTAATGAGTTAATTTGCTAATGTGGTCAGAATAGTTATCAAACAATTGCAGACAAGTCACTTGATCTAAAGTATCACTGGCTGCATTTCTTTTTCTGTGATGTGTAATGTTGGAGGGAAATCTTTGCAACTGTCCTCATGGCAACAAGTAGAATATAGCTTACTAGGAGTTGCCAGAGAACGAATGTAACAGAGGCTGCTCAAGATTGTCCCATGAAGGAAAAAAACAGTGTCAGGCTATGTAGGCAAAATCATCCCGGCCGTTGGGAACAGCTCTGGATTCTGGTCATACAATTCTAGCCTTTTCTTCCCTTGGTAGCACAGAACTTCAAAATTTGCTGTCAGGAAATTAAGAAGAAGAATTGTAGCTGCCTATGTCAATGACCCTGTAAATCGCAAAGAATAGTCTATGATTCCGCAGCTTTTTGCTGAAGGAACATAAGGTGATTTGGAAGTGTTAAGCATGGAGCTATTTTGTAGTAAATCTAAAGCAGAAATGCAAAAGATGAATTGGTTTTGAATTTTTATATAAATGAGTAAGCTGCTTATCACGCCTAGAGAACACATGCAGTGATATTTTATGAATTTTCTTCTGGTATAATTTGTGTATTTGCTCCCTCTAATCCTTAATTTCCTAATGACCATTTCAGATCCAGAAGCTGCAAGATCGGGCAATTCTAAAATCACCACAACTTTGGGATTAGTCGTCCATGCTGCAGGTAATGTGGGACCTGTTGTTAGAACTTGGGAAGGACTTCTGCTGCTGTGCAACTTGTCTTTAGCCTGTAGAAACACATGCATTTTAAATTCCATTATCATTAACACATGAAAAAAGCCATGAGGAATGTTTAATGTTCAAATATACTACAATGCACACCTTCATTAACCTTGAATTATCTCTTTAATAGTATGGCTGTAGGTTTGAACAGCTTTGAGAGTACAGAGAGTCCCTTTATGGTTTAACTGGTAAATTAAGGGTTATGCAGAGGTGGTTTAGAAAGTTGTTGGCTTTTGTTTTATAACAAAACAAACGAGAAACGGGGGGGGGGAAAAAACCCTAAGGTTCGTCCCCAAGACTTAATGGGAAAACATACTTTGGTGAATGTTCCATGGAATTTTATTTGGATGCAATGTTTCCCTCCTCTAATTTTCCTCTCTCAAAACTTGCTGTGTGATGCTCACTGTCTCCCTCTCCTGTTCATCTCTTCTGTTTCTTTGGTTGCTTTAGCTGCTACATTTCAGTATATGTTTGATACGTAGTGCGAAACCCCACAGTTGAGCTGTGTAGATGTGGTCTTTTTTTTTTTTTTTTAAATCCTGTGATAAAGGAGATTTGTGGTGTTCAGTGCAAACATTTGAGTGAAAGTCATTTATATTAACTCTTGTAACTTTCTCAATCATTGCATATATTGCAGTCAACTCAGATTCATTTTGTAATTCTTCAATATGTGTTTATAATAAAAGTATGATTCTTTTTAATCTCCCCCGTTGAAAGTTATTTTGTAGGACGTAAGTTTTTGATGAAAAGCTGTAATTTCAATAACAAAGTGATTCTATTAGTCCTTTACCTATAAACCATTTCCTATTTCATGGATATAGTATCTTTTTGTTAAATGGTACAAGAATAATATTTTAGATATTCATTTAAAAAGGTAATAATTTAAACTCCTTTAATGTTTAGAATCTAAAATGGCTTTTGAATTTAGGTAGGAAGCAACTTTTATAAAGAAGACTAAAATTAACTAAACTTGTTACCTGATTTATGTCTTGTCAGGATGTGTCAGTACTGAATAGATTCTCAGTTCTGCTTTTCTGTTCTTAACAGAAAATGAGGCAGCTTCTGCTGAGAGTTGTTTGAAATTCTGAGGTTGTCAAGGCTTAAGAAGTGAAGGGGAGTGAGCGATGTATTGGGCTGGTGGCGTTCATGGCTTTTTGAGTAACAGGACTTCTCAAATCAACATGATTGGTCCTGTCAGCCATTGAAAAAAAGCTGAAATTTATGTGGGTGAATAATCAATGAACTTGCACTCCTTTTTCAGCTGATGGTGTTGCATTGGGTGCAGCAGCTTCTACTTCCCAGACTAGTGTGCAGTTAATAGTGTTTGTTGCGATTATGTTGCACAAGGTAAGTCATGATCCGGAAGTCTGTTCTTTAAAGGTCTCTTAAAGCATATAGAAATTCTTAAAGATCTAAGTTCCCTTAGTGATGTAATGGAAGTGTGTTGTATCATTGAAATGAACAGAACAGTAGTACAACTTGAAGGGCCAAAGAGCACTGGAATGATGTGTGACTGGATATCAAATGAAGGATGTAAAGTCTGAATGAGCTGAGGATGAGAAGGACTTCTTACTGCCTGTCTTGGTTAGAGGAAGTAATTGGGAAAAATCCCCCAAAAGTAGGGAGAGAAGAACAGCTTATTAAGGAATGCTTAAGGCAGCTTCATGTTGACTTTTTCTGAAACTAATGATCAAATTAAAAAGGATCAAATGATTCTTACTGTTCCAAGAGATGTATTTGGAGAAGTTTTGCAGGGTGTACCCCAGGAGGATAGCCTAGTGTATTTGTTCAAGGGAAAAAAGCAGCTTTATGCTGATGATGGCAGTTCTTGCCTCTGTGTGATGTTCCCAAGAAAATGGGGAAGACCCATGATTTATTATTTCAAGCGTTAAATCTTTTGAACCTTCATAGTATCAGATTAGTAAAAAAAAAATTGGTAGTAGTTTCATCATCAGTCATACGCCACTTTTGCAGAAAAGCTTTTAAACATTTTTCTGGTGATAACAAGCTAACGCTGACTCTTGAAGTTGGAAAGTTTGTTTTTTTGTTTGTTTGTTTTCCATAAAACATTCTTGCAAATATGTATGTTAGCTATATTTCCTAAATATTTTGTGAGCGGTTATGTATGTGACTTATGGCAGCATATGCGCCTGTCAGAGTAGTTAGTCATACATTCATCCAAAATCTTGCTTATGTAATTGCATGTCCAGAATGTTAGGAAATCCAGATCTAGTTTGTCTTTTTTTTTTTTTTTTAACTGTTCATACTGTAAATGATGCTTGACACAACCCTCTTCAATGATTGCAATGTCAATGTCACATCTTGCTCTGAAGCTTAAGTTATGGCTATTGTCAAGTGAAGAAACTGGCTTTTATTATTCTTAATGTTGAAATGAGCTGCCTTGTGAAACTGTACAATTTTTAAAAGAAAAAAAATTATTCCATGAAAAAATTAAGAGAAATGCATTGCTTCCTATCCAGTTGCTTTTTTGATGCTTCTCAGCTTTTGACCTTGATTGATGATTTTGTCCTTCTCATCTTTTTCCTCTCACTCATGCTTTCCTTCCTCTAATTAAAAAGATTCTGTGCATGAAAACAGCTCTAATGTATTTTAACTTATATCTTATCACAAATTGTCGGGGCTGGACTGCTACTGTGTCAGTGCAAGCGAAAGTGTAATAAATTCAGTGAGTAGAAGGACAGCAATGCCTTGTAAGGAACTGGATGCTAGCAGAGGGATAAGAAGGAAGTGTTTAGTTATTTCCAGTAGGAACAGAAATGGAGCAGAATGAGGAAAAACTAATCAAAAGAGCTCTCAAGTTTTTGTCCACCTGGAGATTGACAGCTGCCTGTCTTCATTTTGGGTTATTTTCCCCTCCATGTTAATTGTGGAATTTTTCTGCCTTGGCTGAAGGGACCAGCTGTCTAAGGATGCATAGTATCAGCATGAAAAAAGAAAAAGATAAATTTGGGTTAAGGAGCACTTCAGGACTATAGGAACAATTCAAGCCAGAAGGAACAGTTGAATGTTTATAGTGACTGTACAAATATCTGTACACTGACAGCTGGAACATGGGTTACTTCTGTGTAGTCGCCTTGAGGTAGGACGTTCTGCGGATTTCTGTCGATTTAGGTTAAATGCACCATACTGGTGCTTTACCATAATCTCTTCCAGTTCAGTGCTTTTCATAGAAATAAGTCTTATTTCAACTTCTTTCTCTTCATCTCAGATTTCAGAAAACTTTGGAAGGGATTGTTTTATCAGGGAATATTGCTTTTTTGCAGGCACCAGCTGCCTTTGGCCTTGTTTCCTTCCTGATGCATGCTGGGCTGGAACGGAATCGAATCAGAAAGCACTTGCTGGTCTTTGCGTTGGCAGCACCTGTTATGTCCATGGTGACATACTTAGGGCTAAGCAAGGTAGGTCTGTGATTTAGTTCTGCTCAAAGTGTAGCTGAGTGGTGGGGTTTGGGGAAACAAATATCTTATGGGATTCATTAAAGATACTATTCCAAACTATTTTAAGAATTTAGCAGGAAGGGGACTATTTGAAAAAGAATTGTAGATAAAAAATGGTAGCAATATGTACGTATGAAACATGAAAAACAGCCCTTGCTTTCCATCAGAACCAATGATACAGCTCCTCTGTAGGGTTATGCATAATTTCAGAAGACTGATTCCTCTCTCTTCTCCTTTTTATCTCTTCCCCTGAGAACTTTACATCAGATATTAATGTACATAAGTAAATACAACTAGATGCTTGAGTCTGCTGTGTGCACGCTGTTTAACATGAAGATGAAAAAACATCTTTGCTAATTTTTTCCACCATCCCAGAATTGGTTGTCTTATCTTAAAAGGCTCTTTCACCTTGTATCAGAGGTTGAATCCTCTGTGCTAGAGGCCTTTTTGCCTCCCATACTCCTTCTCCATCATAGTTTTGGGTTGACTTTATACAACTAGCGGCCTACACAATGGGTGACTGGACATGTGCTTATCCTCTGTCTAAATTAAATTATTCTGCCTCTTGTTGCATTTTCTGTCACGCTTCTGTAGTTCTAACTGCTGTAGGTTTTGCTGGTGACCACACTAAGAAGTGTATAAGGAATCTAAAAAGTCTCATGAAACTTAATGCAGGAAGAGACAGATTAAGTCAGTCATCTAGGATAATTCCTTTACTTGCTGGAAAGGAGTTTACACCTGATACTGCAGCATAGGAGAAGGCAGAAAGGGTTGGGTTTGTAAATAGAAATCAGAAGGGTGTTTAAGCACTTGCTTGATGTAGGCTGGCTGAGAGTTCTTTTTGCATTTTGCGCTTCAGAAGGAGCAGAATTGATAAGGTATAAAGGCTGCCACAGTGGTTATACAGTTCCAGGGCAGAGGATATAGGACTAGAAATAGAATTTCTCTGGAAATAGCACTGAAGAGTATACCAAAGAAGTAAAATCACCCATGAGTGGGAGATTGATGAAGCCCCCTGTTTGGGGCTTAAATCTAGCGGGTTTTGCATTGACCTCCAGGAGACTACATGTTGAGAGGCTAACAGCTTATTTGAACTCTTATTGTTTAAAAGAAGAAAAAACATCAATCCTGAGTGTCCTTCCTAAATTTTGTGGCTTTGCCATCTAACTTTCATATTTTTTAAAACACATTTTGGTTTATCTGTTGCTGTGAGATGGTCAAAACAGATGTTTCTACATAAACTCTGGTGTAAGGGTTTCTAGAAGTGTAAAATGAACTAAATATGAAGAGAGGCATCTATCCTTTAAACTCCCTCCCCATCAGCTTTATAATGCCAGTTGCTACTTGCAAGGTGCAAGACGTTAAACATTTTAAATTGTTGTCACTGTGAGAGAATGAGTGTTAATGGAAATCTTGCTGTGTCTGGGTGTTCATAGAACTTTTATTATTGGTTGAAGAACTTCTGCATGGCCTCATTTTTGCTCTTTCTTTTTTTTTTTTTTTCCATTTCTCAGAGCAGCAAAGAAGCCCTTTCAGAAGTCAATGCCACCGGAGTTGCTATGCTTTTTTCTGCTGGAACTTTTCTCTATGTTGCAACAGTTCATGTCCTCCCAGAAGTGGGAGGAATTGCTCACAGCCACAAACCTGAATCAACTGGAGGAAAAGGACTCAGCCGTCTGGAGGTGGCAGCCCTAGTCTTAGGATGCCTAATTCCTCTAGTTTTGTCCATTGGACACCATCACTAAAAGCTCAAAGTTCACAGTTCTCCTCGATCTGACCTGAGCAGTAACTGTTGGCTGCTCCCTTTATCATTGTCTGTCTTACCATCTTCCATCCCATGTACTTTTATGGAGTTCAGAGGGAAGCTTGATTGCCAAGTGAGGAATACTGGGAAAGATTTTAGTGTAGCAAAATGTACTTTGGCAGCCGGACATTAATTCTATGTAACTTTCTTTTTTGAAGACCTTTGCTATTTTAATTGTTACTTCTGGCCCTATTCTCAGGGAAGATGGAATATGGAGTTTAAGAAAGGTGAGTGGGGAAGAACTTAGCGGCTCGTCATGAAATTGCGATCACCAAAGTTTCCTGCAGTTCAGCTTTCACAGCTGAGAACAAAAACGAAGGATGGCTGCCTTTTAGGAGGTTAAAGTCTTCTTACTAGTAAAGTAGGGGGCTCTCCCCCATTGCTTTTATGTTGTCCTGACAATGTGATTGTTGTTTGTAATGTTTGTCACAAACGGTGTTGTAGAGGTGGCCTGCACTCTGGACAATGCTGCTGTTGTGACAGAAATATCTATCATTGGTAGGAAAAAATGCTCTGGACAATGTGTAGGATTAATATAGCAAATGATAATTCAGCTGGTTAAGGAAGGGCAAATGATTTCTGCAGTGTATTCCATTATTTAAGACAAAGGAGAGAAGTGAGGAGAATATTGTTGTGATTGTTTATACAATTGTTAATAACTTTAAAAAAGGCAGAATGTCTTGGAAGATGATCTTCCACAAAGTCAATAAAGTGTAGGCACCAGAAATGTTAGCAGGAATTAGATATTTGGTACTGTGATTACACTACTGCTACCCTTGAGAAAGAAATCCACAGTGTCTTTTGAAATCAAGCTGTTCTGTGCTGTGAGGAGTAGAAATCGGATGTAAACAGCTGTTGAGGGACCAGACAATTTTACTAGCTCATCTTTAAAAATTTGAACTACAGAAATCAGTGGGGTATGTGGGATTTTTCATTAAATAAAAAGTATTAAGGCTAACAAAACAAGATCTTTGGTTAAATATTTATGCTGCAGAAAGAGTACAATGTGCATCTAAAGCAGTTCTAAACAAAACAAATACTGTTGGGTTTCTAGGAGACCCCTTAGTCATTTCAGTTTTCCTTTGGGAATCCTACATTCACCTCTAACTGATGATCATTAGTTTTGGCGAATCTGCCGGAGGACTTACTGCCAACTGCTGATGCCTCTCACTGTAGATGGGTGACAAAACATCCCTTCCTTTCCGAGGTACAGCCTTCTCTTGTCAGGCACCCTTTTCTCTCATGCAAAATATATTATGCTCTAATAACTTCAGTGCATTAAAAAGTCAGGAATGCTTGACGTGCACACACTCAACACACGATTCTTTCTTTAAGGGAAAAAAAAAAGCTTTTTAATTCTGTGCCCGTTTTAAGCTATACTCTGTCTGCACTTTTTAAGGATAATGTTGCCAAATATATATCTGTTCTTAATTTTTGTTGTTGTTTGAAATGGAGCTTCAAAGCTTGACTAGTTGGTTTCCCGAAGTGCTTATTGTTTCCATTTGAATTTGTCTTTTTTTTTTTTTTCGTGCCATTTATTGCTTGTGCTACACAGGCCATTGTGCCTCTTAACTTCTTTATGTTTTTGTCGCTGTTCTGTTTGTCTGCTAGTTCAGCAATAGGTATTGGCCTGGCTCCTGGACTAGTCACTGCTCTGTCTGTTTGCTTTGTAACAACACAGATGTATCCCAAGATTGAATTTAGTAGTAATCCCTAGGATTGCTTGTTCATTTGTGTGTTTTACTACATAATGGGTGAATTTTAAAATCAATGCAAAATGATTAGAACTTATATTCTCTCGCAAGATATTATTTTCAAATAGAATTAGTGTATGAGCTCCAAACAAGCATTTTGGACACTAGCCTTCCAAAAGTAATTCTGTTATGAAAAGCTGCTGCATAAATAATGACAGAGATGAGATCCTCTCCTGCACGTTATATTTGCTTTTACGATATACCTATACAGCTGGTAAGTGACCTGTTAAAAAGTTGAGTGATACAGGTTCCAGAGCTGTCAGTGTTCTTCCTCGTTCCCCCTGATTATGTTCTTCCTTCCTAATCTCACCGTCTTGCCCACAGGAATTGCAAGGTCTGCTGTAGAAGCAGTAAGTATCTTAGTGCAGCAGCAAAGGCTTACATCTTGTGGAACAGTTTTTAAAGACAAGTGGGTTATCTGCTCGACTGTACAAGTCAAGTAATTTTTCTTTTTCTCCTACTATGCCTGAAATGGTTTACACTGCAGGATGAGTTCAGTTTCTTGAAAACCAAGCCAAAGAGTAACTGTGCTTACCTAAAAAGGTTTGCAAGTCTGAAGAAGGTACTTGAGTGTTGCTGAGCACCATCTGAACATGATGAGTGATGCGGACTTGCACCAGCCGGCGGTATAGAAGCTGGTTTAATTTTTGGTTTTCTAGAGGAACCTGGGGTTTCTGTCATAACTACTAGTCCAGTAGCCTTTAGGTAAAGCACGCTTGATCTGGAGTCTCAGCTAGATGATGACAAGTGCCAGTAAGGAAAGACTATGCTCAGTTCCTCTTTTCTTTTTTTTTTTTTCTTAAGCAGAGCCATATTTTAAACTGTCATCCATCCTTTGCACATGCACCCCTCCCCCCCATCCAAAACACTCCCCTGGTTAAGTTAGCATCGGGACTCCATCCTCATTTTATCTTAAACAATTGTAAGGGCTAGGGAGGTATGGAGATAAGGTCCCATTGAATGTGTTTTGCTCCTGCGTTGGTGTATCTGAATTGTACCTTTTTCTGTGGATGTGTGTGTATTGACTGAGGATGCAACAGCCAAGCTATTCGCTGCTGACTTTACCTCCGGCATGTTAACAAGTTCCCTTGCTGAGAGGTCATCTTTCTTTCCTCCTATCCCTCAGATCATATTTCCAGTTTCTGGGACAGCCACCAGAAATACTAATACTCAATTTAATGATTCATGAGCTTGAGAGGCCAAGTTACAACAGCAGGCAAAGGATTTTAAATGAAAACATTGACAGCTTAAGGTTGGCACAAAGAAGTCCAATAACCTGTAGTTTTCATTGTGGCACTCAGCTCAGTGGTAGACTTCTGTGGATTTTTTTTTTTTCCTGTCTGTTTAGAGGTAGCAACAGTATTTTCTTCTGGCTTCCTCTGTTATCTGTGTTGAATGAATGATTATTTTATATTCTTTAGCTGCAACGGCAGTGACTAAGGAAGCTTTTGGTTATGTGATAAGAGAATACAAAATTTTCAGTGACCAAACCTTTCCAAATTGTTAGTTCCATGTGGAGGATTTTTTTCTTCAAGCATGTGGTTTTAAGGAGTTAAAATATCCCGTTTTATCATATTCCCTTTTTATCTACTCCCCATCTGTCCACAGTAAATCCAAGCACTACATGTAGTCAGGGCCATCTGGTGTCATTTTCTACTCCCCAGGGGACGGTGGTGCAAACCAATTCCTCTTTCTCTGTCTGTTTGTAATAGCCATCTCTGCCTGTGTTTTTTTTCCTGTGAGGTAGGTGGCAGTAGGTCTAGCAGGTAACATTAACTAAGTGCCAGGCAGTTTTTTCTCCCTTTCTTCTGTAAATCCCCCTACTAGGAAATCTGTAATCGCCTCAGCTGGTTTTTCATTTCCTAATTTCTTAATTGGCAGTAGGAATTGGCCTAAAACTGTGTTTCTCTTGATTCCGGTGTGTTCTGCTACTTTACTTACTATTCTAATTTCCTTATTATTCTTTGTGTAAAAAAGGGAAATATTTCTTTTTCAGCACCTGGTGACAGATACTGAAGCTGAACTGGCATTAACTTGTGGGACGATGGCAGAGCTGTTGCACCAAGATAGGAATTTTTGATAATTGTTCCTTGTAATGTCAGATGGCCGGGTGGTGAACGCAGAAACCCACTGTTGACTTCTGAATTTCAAAGAACCGTTCCTAGGTGGATTGTGTAAAAGGGTAACGTTATCCAAGAGAGCCAGGAAAACGATCATGTTTATTCAGAAACTAGTTCACAGCCTGGTGTTTGTCTTCAAGGAGCTTTTGGCAGTAGCTGAAATGTCTGTGGGGCATCAGTTTTGTTCAAAATAACAAGGAGGTGCTGTGGCATAAGTGCTGCTGTTCCCTTCTCGTTCTGTGCTGCTTTGCTGCATGGGACCTGTGAAGAAGAGGAGGAAATATATTCTGGGGCAGGTGGCGCGGTTGTGGTATTTGGGAAAGTTCATGATGAATTTCAGATTGCTGTTCGCCTCAAACTTATTTAAAAACAAAAAAGTTTTCTTGTTTTCTTTTTATTACATCTCAGCAGCCTTGGCTTTCCGGTGAAAACATTACATGGTCATTGCTGTTTACTTAACTCCATGTATGGAACTGTAATTTTAATATCTTATTTTCCAAACCATTTGTACACAAAATCATTCCATGAATGGCTGCCTTATAATTTTTCCATTTCAATTGTGAATGGTTAAAATAATGTTGCAGTTTTTGATTTGTTTTATTATATTAAATTTTTACTAGGTGCAGTGCTTCAGAGTTGGCTTCTCATTTACTGCATGGGGTTTTGACAGCTCCTACGAAGAGAAGTGACAATTTTGAACGGGATGCAGTTGTTGCAGGCGGTACATCTTATTTTTCTATAGGTGTTTGTGCTGCTTCTCTTCATAGTGTCTGAGCACCCCTTGGAAATCTGAAGGATGAAACTGTTGGGAAAATCGATGTATAAGTAGGAACATGACAGCTCTGCTTGAGAGAGAGATTTGGCAATTCTCTTTCCCACACAGTATTTAGGAGTTGGCATTGCCTTGGGGCAGTCGCTCCTGGCGGACGAAAAATCTAACCTTTGCTTACAAGGCGGAGACCTTTTTAGAGGATCGTTAGGAGCTGACTAGCTCAAAATTGTTCCAGGCTGCTGTTAAAAGGCTGGAGGATGTGTTAGGGCGAAAGGAAATGGAGAGACCACCGGGGTGGAGTGAAAACCGTCTTGCCTGCCCCAACATAAATCACTATCCTTTGCCTGAAAGCAACATGCAAATATTAAGGTGCTTCATTATTTTGGAGCCTTTGTAACCAAGTAGCCTTTTGTGGGCGTGCACCTGCCTGCAGGTATTAAAAGGTAACTCTAAACATAAAAACGTGAGTCTCTCTACTTTGGAGAAAGCTTGTCACAACTCAGATTTTGTTGTGACCACCACATGATCCACCTTATGTCTTGTTCTCGACCTTTGCTATTGACACAGTTTTTTTTCTTGAAAGCAGCCTATCTTTCTTCCTCCAGCATTCAATGAAGTTAAAGCCTTTGTTAAGCCATAACTACATAAGCTTCCTGTTTAATGCTGGTAGCGGTGGTTGTCGTAACTGAGAGCAGGCTATGCTCTTGCTGTGAAGAAAGAAATTGTCTCCTCAGTCTCCTGAATTTCTTTGGAAGATTTTACTTGCCTCTGGCATTGTTTTGAGCTGCAAAGAATAGTTGCAAATAAATCTAACAATCATTTTAAATTTTAGAAGTGATCTTTATCAAAGGGCTCTCAGGCAGGGGATACAGGCAGAACTTTGAAAATGGATTCTGTTCTGTTGTCTTTGAGTAAAAGCTTACAGGGCAGTTACTTTTCCTGCAGGACATTTTAGGTTATATTTGTACGGTTTGCAGGCTTTATGCGAAGAGTCTCAGAAAATTTGGTCAGTTGCACATTGTGTGCTGAGATTTTGAAGAAGGCAATATCTGTATTTCTGATACAAAATATTGAATTTATGCTTTATTTGGAAAAAAATGCAACTTTAAGAGAGCAGCCACTGATAAAATGTTAATTTACCAAACTTAAAGTTAACATTTAAAAACACATGCATAGGGCACAAATAACAGAATAAATTTAATGAGTAAATACTCTGTAAAAGCCAGTGCTGGCCTTTCGCCAAAGTGTACCTAAGTTCTGGTGTGTGTATGCTTTTATGGGCTTGTAAGAGAAGGTTGTGTGGTTGCTGCCAGGATTTAGTGCAAGGATGTGAATCTGAGTCAGGATCCTTGCATTAACTACAACATAAGATGGTTACAAGGTGGTCCTTAAAGAAACAACTGCATATGCTTTTCAGAATAGTAGGTAGACCCCCCCCCCCAGTGGAGTAGGGTTCGCAAGAAAGCAGTCTGAAACTGTCACTGAGCCTCAGGTGATAAAACTCTAGGAAATTGTCAGCCAGACCAATCCAGGAAATGTTAATGGCTTAAAGCAATCTAGAGAGAGAGGCAAGCCTTAAGTAGCTTGCAGAGAGGCGATTAAGGACTCAACTGCACCTCCCTAATATGAACAGCACCTGGAAGTCTGCCAAGTTCTTTAGCCCAATTTGGGAAGGCCCTAATTGAATAGCAGTCTTGAGCACTGATTGTTGTTGGCCTTTATAAGGTGTTGGCTTAACTTGGGTTATACATCCTCTTGTTCTCCGTATTCTCCAGCTGCCCTGTAAGGAGGTTTGGGTTCTAGCCATATCGTTTTGGAAAAAATGAAGGGGAATGATGCTGTGGAGCAGGGACAGGGTAGTGCTCACTGTATGCATTCCCAAAGCATAGCATCTTCAGTGCACCCATTTAAGAGATACCCTTGATGCATCGATGTGATCTACAAGTAATCCAATAGCAAAAGGCTTTTTCTCCTCCAGCTGCTATATATAGACTTATTTAAGATCCTGTAACTTTAACAGTTTCCCTCAAGCAATAAGCAGTCTTCTCAGCTAATATGTTTATGGTTGCTGATTTTTCTGGTAGCTCATAAGCCTTATATGGTTAGGAAAAAGTGCCATCTCTTTATGCGGGCTTAATTACAGGAGAATGTGATTAATTTGTACAAGTCTGTGGGAGAATCAAAACGAATGACAAAATGTTGCTCATGTAGCTAGTGGAGACAAATGTAAGGCAATAGAAATGAGAAGCTAGTACTTTTCCAGATAGGCTTGTGTTTTGGGGCAACTAAAGTTCAACTTTAAAGATTTATGATGAAGCATTATGCAGTTTTAATATACTGTTTGTGTTTAATAAAATTGTTGTCTAAGTAACTGGAGGCAACCACTGCAGTCTGGTGTATTTCCTTGCAGAGATGTGAGGAAGGAGGAAGTGCTTTGGGTGCATTTATGTTACAAGAGTTACCATTGAAAGCTTAAATATTAAGCAACTGTGGTGTTGCAGGCTTCCTGATGATGGTGTAAAGTGTGCCTGAATTCAGAAAGAAAAGAAAAAAAAACTTTTTTTCATCAGCATTTTTATTAGAGATGCATTAGGGATGAGGAGAGCAGCAAGAATAAGAAGAGCTGTCATCTATTGTTCCAATTTACAAATTAAAGCATTCTTCTACCGATACCTGCAAGGCTTATCCCAGGATCCCCCCCCAGGCAGAATTGCAGAACGTTCTACCCTTTTTATTATAGCATTTTTTCCTCTATTATCTAAGATGTCTAGAGGTTAACTAGCCGTTACAGTCGGTGGTGCGGTAAGAAAAATGCCTCACACAGGAAATATGTAGAGCTAATTAAAAGTAGGCTGTATTATGATTACTGGCACCAAACCTATGCAGTATTTAAGTAATCTAAAAGCAGAGGTGAAATTGCTGAAAGGAGGAGAGTGCTCCGTCTGTACTTGCTCTGGATGTATTCCCATTCAGTGTCTCAAGTAGTGGTTGTAGTATATGATCACAGCTTGTGTTGGAATCTGTGGGAATTAATATGCTCCTGCTATCTGAAGAAACACCTTAAGGGAGGTACTCTTTGTTGCACTGGATGCTAGCTGAGTGGCTAGGCTCAGGGCTGAAGAGTGCTGCTAAAAGCCCTGCTACAAGCTCCTAGGTAATTTGAATGACCTTTACTGTAGCACCTCTTACTTGAACTTTGCCTCCAGAGGGTTAGGCTGTAAATAGAGTCCCATTTTAGAGCTAGAGTAGATTTTCCACATTCTGTTTTTCTTTTTGACAGAAGAACTGAAGGACAGCTGACCTTGAGCAAATGGCTCGGTGCAGGGTAGTAAATAGAGCTGGGGAGGGCGAGGTGGCGCTCCTAGAGGCTGTGTTTTGTGGAGGGCAATGTTTTTGGTGTCCTTAATTGCCAGGCGATTTAGACTTTCAGCTGGCTGAGGGTTCTCCTTAGTGCAAACACAGGGTTTGCAATGGGCTTGTTACATCTCCTCCTGACAGCCCTCCTTCCTCTGTATTTGGATACCCGCTTGAGAATGTGGATAGGAAGGATATCAAGAAGCATGATCTTTTTTCTGTCCAATGTGTGTGCGCTGCACGAACCCTGAGCTTGCAGTGACTAGCTGTGAAGAAAGCCAGGAAGGAGAGAGAGTTTACAAATTAACCAAAAAAAGCAGAAACTGCTGCCTGTTAGGCCTGTGTATAGTGGAATGTGTTAATGGAGGGTCTGAAGAACGTAAGTGTCTTGGTCCCTGCCATTTCCAATTCTGGATGAAGTCCTAATAGGAAGCATCTCTAGCTTGTTAAGACCTTGCCTTCAATGGCAATAACAGTGGTGCAGGTAAAGTAAACTTTGAATGGATATGTAAGAGCAATTATGTTTTTTTGTGTGTGTAGGACATTTCCGTGGGATTTAGATTAAATAAAAACATGGTATAGTCAATCCAGGTTTCTGGGTAACTCTTATATACAATAAATAGATAAGCCTAGGACGACTTTCCCTCTGTGCAAAGCTAGACTAGAGGGAACAAAATGTGTGAAAATTAGTGGATTGCAATCAATGTCTGAATTTTTCTAGTGGAAAAATGCCTTGTATAAAGTAGCCCTGCCACTAACCCTGTTTTAGAGACTTGGAGGGAGGGTTCTGATCTGTTGACTTGTGTTGAAACAGCTGAAGAAAGTACTTGTTCAGAGTGGGCAGCCATCAGCCCTGAGTCTTACTTAGTGTCCAACTGGCTGTTGGGGTGTTTTGTCAGATCTTACAAACATTGGTGCTTCAGTTGTCTCCCTGTGATAGTATATAGTGATCAAACATCCCCTTGCCAAAGAAATTCCAGCAACACCCTCACTTGTAGAATTTTTTGGCTTTTGTATCAAAGCTACTGTATTGGACAGGGTATGTGTGTTCTCGTGCTGTTCTGGATGTTAGCACCATTTTCATAGGTGAGGGACTACTACGGTAGAGAGAAATCCAGTTACATGGCTCAAGTCAGGTAGGGAGATTCTGGCAGGGCTGGAAACTGAGGCCAGATGTATTGAACCCTGCTTTGGTGCCCTCATCATGAAGGCAATATTTTTTTGGTGCTGAAAATTAAGAGGCTGAATAAGTGGTTGTGCCTTTAAAACTCTGTGCTGTCCCCCAGAATAACTGCTCTGAGTAGCTAGTTTCTCTCCCACTTATTTGTTAGATCTCCAAGTGTCCTGGTACCAGAGAGCACAAAGATCATGAAAGCCTCTAAAAGTTGCTGGGCTTTATGTAGCCCGCGCTACATATGTAGGATACGTGTGTGTGTGATACATCATCAATGTGATTTGTATATTTTCTCTGCAGAAAACTTCCAGTAGGGCTTGCTGAGCGAT